AAATTACATTATACTTTATACCCGTACTTAAAGATGATATTCTAAATGTTTTAAGATACTTTGTAGGTACTAAAAAAAAACGTGATTTTAGGTGGGGGGAGGGGTTTAGTCTTAAACCTAACCACGTATCACCAAGGGGGAGGAGGGGGTTAAAAAAATGCTAAAGAAACATCACGTGATTAATGGATGGCCCCTATGTAGCGTAGGATGACACCTTGGATTCCTGCAACCGCTCGCTGTCATAAATCGGATGTAGTCGGGTTGGGATGCCCCAGTCAGCGCACGCGGTCTATCTCGGTGGACCTATCGCGTTTACACGATTACTGCGTATTGTTAAACAAAACTGAATTACGGATTTCTTCGCGTTTAATTACTGTTATTGCGCACAACGTTTCACTTCAACACTTTAATCCTTGATTATAGGACAGACTAACAGACTAAAATGTACCTGCCACCTGCGCCATAGGGTTCGGTCCCCACTACTGGAAAATATTGTATTGTACATAGTTTTTCCAGTGTCTGGTTGTTTATACCTATAATATGTATTTATTGGGTTGTTCGAAAAGTAATTTCGTTTTTTTTTTTTATTAAATTGAAAGACAATTTTCGTTTAATGAACCAATATTTTTTTCGGGTGCATTTTTTTTTCACAACGTTCTCTAGTCCCAAACTAAGCAACGCTTGTACTATGGGTACTACAAAACTTACTTAAACATACTTTTCTTTTGTAAATAAATACATATTATACATATACAGCATGTCGTTACCATCGCGACAATAAATGAACACACGTCTAACGCTACTTGCCAATAATCATAAAAAAATATTAACGTTAAACAAACTCCATAATTAAAAAAAATATTTTTCACACAAACTAATTAAGAAAAAAAAAACAAAATTTGTAACATCCTATACAACTCGCGCCACAGCGTCGCATTACAAGCCTCTCCTTCTAACAGTTTGTTTTGTCTCTTTTAAATTCATTCAACCCATTCATATGCTTTGTGATCTTTACAAATGAACTTTACGTTACAGTTTTATACGTAAGGGTGTTCTAAAATTGTTTATTTTGGAAAATTTAATAACTCTGTAAATATTGATGTTTAAAGAATGTAAATGTTTAATACAATTTTAAAAAGTTATCCTCTATATGTGTGTCCATTTATTGTTGCGGTGGTAACAACACGCTGTATAAACACCCAGACCCTGGAAAAACACTATGTTCATCACACAATATTTTTCCAGTAGTCGAGATCGAACCCACACCCTATGGCGCAGGAGGCAGGGTCACTACTCCCCACGCCAATCGGGTCGTCAAAATATAATTAATATATAATTATTATATATTGGCCATTCTAGTCCAATACCTTTTGCCATTTCTCTGGTTGTAGCATGATTCCACGCTCATAAATTTTTTTGTTCTGTTTAATAGTTTAATTTACCCAATTCATATATAATATAAATTATGACGCACACAATATAAAAGAAAACTTACATATTCGGACTCTTCGACATAAATGTAACGTTTTTCTTGATTTTTATTATTTAATGACACAACTGCAGACGAATGTTGACTTATAAAATCAAATATCATGATAAGTTTGTTCATTTATCGTCGAACTATTTATCTTGACGTACTCTATTAATTTTTTACACCATTGACAGTTAATCCATTTTGATCTGGGCATGCTTAGGTAGGCAGGTTAAATATAATGTTGTTATAATAGGTTTCTATAGACTGTAATTTTTCGCCATTACCTAATTACTCTATAAACTATACAAGTAAAAATTTAAAAAAATTATATTTATTTAATTTCTTGTCTTTCGTCGGTATTAGTCAAATGATTACCATTACTATGTAAGACTGTAAGGAAAACGATTGTTATAAATGTTCAATAAAATGAACACAACTTACCTATTTATTTCTTTAAAATTATAGATAACTTTATCGCCAGTGCAAGGATTCGATATAATGTTCATTTAAATATGCGATTTATTGAAAATAACCAACGAGCACATAAATCCGCTCGTTATATTTATTTAATACTATTTTAATAAATCTAATATTCACAATACCAAGTGCCAAGAACGCTAGCTGCATTTCCTCGCTAAATAGTTATGCTTAACTTTTGAGCGAAAAAAGAAATAATTTAATAAAACACTGTGTAATTTATTACATCACATTTATTTACGAATTACACCCATTTTTGGCGACGCTGATTACAGTTTGGCAGTTTAAAGCGGTTGCTAACTACATATAAAATCTAAATTAACTTGATACTTCGTAATACTTAGAACAAGGAATGGTTACAACAAAATTTTGAATGCTTTTCGTAGTTCGTACATTTTAGAACGTCCTAAAATTTATGCTACGGCATTAAAAGCTGTGAAATTAATATGTACACTACAATATACAATATAATAAGGCTTACAAAAGAGCTATTAGCATAAAAATAATTAAAACTAAGTACATATTACTTTAATAATTACTTTTTATTTATGGAATTTGCTTTTGCGCGGGATATATCTATAATTGTTTCTTAACAATCGTCTTTCGATTTTTTCTCTAAGCACAACACAGGCGTAGCTATAAATACTGTATTTACATATTAATATAGCACGCCTAGATATAATAATTACATCAAAACATATAGAAACTTCTATGATGGACTGTTATAAATTTTCGAATATAAATAACGGGCTTTTAATTTTAACGATTTTAAATTTAAATATTATGGATTTGTTATGCTAAAATTAGAGTTTACTTCAACATAGAAAGTTGAAATTTCCGTTGGCGAGTTTTCCATATTTAAATCTAAAGGGCCACTGAACATTAAAAGACGAATGTTCCCAAGCTTTCTTCGAACTTCGTTTCACTTTCATTTGTTAACTTTCTTCGTGTTTGTTTATTACAGACCGAAATAGTTCCAGCTATGTATATTTTTAACAGATAATATGCATACCAAACCGTTACTGTCATGGAAAGGCAGGCAAATGTCACATAATATATTCTATACTTTATGTACTATACAAATATTTTATATACATATTTTAGTATCGTAGTAGTAATATAGAAACAGAATGATTGATAGAAACTCATTTCGTCTTACTTGTGTTAAACATATCAGGTTATAATAAAAATTATTCATTATTATTATTTGTGGGATCTCATATTTTTGTTATTTTGGAGTTTAAGACGCATGCAATCCTCGGCGATTGGTAATAAATTTAAGTAATTATTAATATAAGCCTTAAACTAATATTTTTTTTATTTAGAAAACTGACAGAGTCGCAGACAAAAAAGCTATAGAATATAAATAATTTTTTTAGACTACAAATAAATGTATAGATAATATAACTTTATGAACATGGTAACGACAGGAATTACTTCTGTTTAAAAATAAGTCGAAACATAAAAGATACTAAATAATAACCTACATTACCGAGGCCTTTATTTCGATTGTAGAATATTCTTATCTATTTTGCTGACTAGATTTAATCTAAATACAATTAGATTACTTTTAATGGCATATTTTCATGATGTATTTAAATTTTATACATTTTGTTTATCGTGCAAAATAATGTGTAACTATACTAGTATCTAAAGCATCCATCAGTTTTGAACTTACAATTGAAATATAACAATTAAAAGAAAAATAATATGTTATTTACATACACTTATCAAGTAGTCTTGGTATTATTATTTTAAAAATTCATTCATGAATGTCGCCATATCAAATTTTTTATTTACAACCATTATTTAAATAAATTTTAACAGTAAGTAGCTGTTCATAGATCATATTTTAATATTTATTTTATAATACATCAATCACTACCTTGGGGTAATATATGTTGTCCTAAGTCTTATTAATAAAATAAAAATCAGACATAGGTAGGTTTTATTACTTTATGAAATTGTATCGTTACTTTTGCGGTTATATAACCTTTTGGTTTTATAATAAGGAATAATTGAAACGCTAAAACTCCATAAATGGACTTTATCTCTAGTTCTAATTGGAAATTCTCACATTGCCAGCTTGGTGGCTTTAGTTCACTCTATTTTTTAATTGCTTTACTTATTACAAAAGTGTAACTACTATCAATGTAATACAATAACTTTATAATTATGTATGTTATACACAATTTGCATGTAAATTCATATTGAGAAAATAACAACCTTCCCTATCGTTAACTATGAAAGGGGATCCTCTAAATGACTACAGTAAGACGAAGTTTCTCCATTACTTGGCGCTGATAAATCAAGAGAAAAAAAAACGAATTGACTGAAGAATAGAGCAGTGCTGGTAAGAAGACACAGTAAATAGAAAGTGAATCTTATAAGTTAAAAACTTACAGGCGATGGGAATATTATAATGTACTGATTACAGACAGTCTCGTCAGATGGTCCATTCATGAGATGTGAATTGACTCATCCGTATTGTTAATAAGATGAAAATGGACAACAAATGAAATTGGTAGTACTTTGATCAGGGAAAATCGTGATCGCTACTTGGATCTGCTAGAGGATATCACATGTTTGTCTAAAGATAGTCCTCGCTTAGTACATGCCTAGTTCATAACCTAACCAGTTCATAACCAGTAGTACCTAGTCCTACCCAGCGCCTATTTATTCCTATTTGATGACTCAGTGGCGCAGTTGCCAAGGTATTTTCTTCGGCGTCGGGGGTCGTTGGTTCGATTCCCACACGGGACAACTATTCGTACGGCACACAGATAGTTGTTTCGTGTCTGGGTGCTTATCCTCGTGCAATTTATGTTCGTAAAACGTCCTCACAGCACAGGATAGTGTTATCCTAAAGTGAGGGCAATGTTTTATCAAAAAAAAAAGAAAGAAAAAAAAATTCCCACTCGACAACCACTGTCCAGTACATTACTAGCTCAGAACCACTTCGAGCATAGTTCCGTCTCTTTCACGTCTTGATAGTCCCGACTTAGTACACTACTGGCTCGTTAGTGCCCCCCCCCCCCCTGCCCCCCTAATTCTTGTACATGTCCGCGAGCACCTTCTCCATGGGCGTCTGGCCTATCGTCCGCGCGAAGAACTCCGCCTCCAGGTGGCGCGGGGGGACCAGCCTGAGGAGTGGCAACAGGAGCAGCAGCCGCCCGAAGCGGGCCGGCGCGGCGCCGTGGGCGCTCCGCGAGTGGGTCATCAGCATCACCTGCGCCTGGTCCTGCAGGTTCTCTATCTGCGGCGGGTCCTTCAGGCCGCGCGTTTCTATGCGAGAAATCGCGGTATACGAGCATAAATAAACCGGTGCCGGGATCAGAGCTAGTTACTGTATCTCGACTTTTACCGAGTCCTGTCCGTTTCACGGTCTTATGCTGCTACACAGACCGTCACTAACTGTTGTTATTTCGTTTGCTTATTTTTATGTTTACATTTATTTTAAGTTTCTGTGTTGTTACATTATTATTTTTAAGTTTTGTATGTATTCATTTGTTTTTAGACCCTGAATAAACTTCTATTGTGGGGGCTATAGGGCGGTGCTAACTGCCCTCTTAATTCTGGACTGGATACGAGTATAACGCATATTGCGGGGGGCTATAGGGCGGTTCTTTTTTTTTAAATTTATTTAGGATCGCAAACTGAACATCACACTCGCATCACAGAATAATGGACACGGATACAGATGATACGGAGCTTAAAACGCAAGTGAATGTTGTTCTATGAGCGAACACAACATGCGACACTGCTCCATGCTAACTGCACTCTTAATTCTGGAGCGGGTACTAGTATAATGCGGGGGGCTGTAGGGCGGTGCTAGCTGCACTATCCAGTGCATCGTAAATGGGACTGCGCACCATTGAGTGAAGGACTATGTATGAAGAGTCTGGGTTCGTTGGAGTGGAGACTATATACTGGTAAATGGGACTGCACGTGAAGTAACGAGCTTCTTTGGCAAGGAGGCCAAATAGGTGTTAGTGTGCAGGTAGTCGTACCAACAGAAGAGTCGAGATACATTGGAATTATTACAGAGTGAGGTAGAGTTAGTCGTGCCTTTAGGTAAGAGAAGCTAAAGGAAGATGGGTATAAAGGGTAGAAGTACATTGGAAAGGAGGCTATAAAAGTATGTACAGTTAGTTACACCCTTACGTACTCTTAGATATGAAGGGTCGAGGTGCATTACAAAGGAAACCAAAGAGTGATGTGCAGTGAGATTCACCCTTACATCGTAAAGGAGACTGCGTATGAAGAGTCCACTATTAAACTTCCACTTTACGCCTGTCTTCTGTGAGGTCGTGGTACTTACCCGGACGAGCCTGCCCATTCGTGCAACGGCCGAGGGTGCTGCGTGGCCCTTCCACCGTAAAAGTGATGTGCAATAAGATGCATTAACTATTAAATATAACTACATATAAATATATATCAAATTTACACACCCTTACAATGTAAATAAATAACACGCGAGTTGGTTGGTAACAATTTATACACATGGTCAGACCTGGCGTAGTAGCAAAATAGTGACATGATGTAATGGCAAAATCACTCACCAGACTTGAATAGCACAATCGCTTTCATGCAAGCGAACTCAGCTGGATCGACAAGAACCGCCCTGTATCTGGCCAGGACTTCCCGCAGGCGGCGAAGAGTTGATGAGCTGACGCCGCTCTCTGAGAATGGTGAACATGACTTGATAAGACCACAGTAACAGTAGAAGTGGGAAATAGCTTGAGTAAAGTAGAACTAAGAAAAGAAATCGGCAATAGCCTAACTAAGGTACAACTAACAGTAGAAGTTGGTGAAGGTTTGAGTAATGTAGAGGAAACGGTCGGAAAGGAAGTCATCAGTGAGGTAGAATTTCTTGAATGGTGGATGTGGCTCATGGGATCGCTCTCAAACCAAAAAGACACTTAAGGACTGATAGGAAAACTGTTTATTTCAACTTAAACATTTTGAACTTATTTTTGGACATTTTCACATTTATTTTAAACATTTTCAACTTAAACGTAATCATTATTGAATTTATATAAAATACATGAGTTATATCAGATCGCTATACATGTTACATCTTCAAACGATTTTTGGAATTTTTCAAATATGACAAAATTCAGTCTGAACAAATCAAACTAACATTCCAAATTTAAAGTAATTCAAACATAATACATAAATCAAATAGGTCAGAGTTGATATCAAAAGAGTATGTATAATCTGAGATTACCAATCAACAGAATTAACGGTACAAGTTTTATTATTTAACAAGTTCTCAGGTAGAATATCGCGAGGAAACCTGCATATTTTCGAAATAACAACCAAATTATAAGGGTTGCTTTTTATCTTCTATTTTTATCTTTATTCTTTATTGTACACAGAGTATAAGTGAAAACAAAATTAAAAAACAATGAACAAAGGCGAGCTTAACCCTAAAAAGAGTTTTCTTCCAGCAAACCCTGACATAAGATTGATGAGAAACAAATCATGATATTATGATAGGTAGGTGCGTAAAATTAGATATAATTATACTCTAAACTCTAAATATATAAAGAAGAAAAAAAAATAGAAGTAAACATATAATACTATAAAATAATATGTAATAAATAATACTATAAAATATATAAAAATGAACATAGTAACAAATAAATGTAGTAATATTAAAATTTTTAATCTATACGTGCGTACCAATGATTTTCTATGTCGTTATGGAGATAAAAAATGTACTTTCACTCAAAATGATGAAAATTTCAAGCGATGAACTGGCCCGTATGCAATGGGGTAGCGAGTTCTATAGCTTAACCGCCTTCACAGTGAAAGATTCGCTATTTTCAAAGGAATTTTCAGAAGAAGTGATTTATTACGTCGGCATTGAGTTCCGCATGGAACGAGAAACTCTTAGCGTTCCCGAAGATATGGAGGAGCAAGAGGATTAAACAGTAAAAAGTAAAGGATATGTAGATCTTGACGTTTACGGATAGATAGCCATTTTAATTGCTCCCTGAACTCAGAAACACGATCATGTTTACGGAGTCCAAAGAAGAATCGTATGCACAAGTTCTGAAGGCGTTCCAACTTGTTCAATAGTACTTCCGTAGCGTCAAGGACACAAACATCAGCGTAGTCAATTATAGGAAGGAGAAGTGTATGAACTAAGGTAAGCTTTGTTTTCAAGGGCAAAAACAACTGAAAACGTTTGAGGGATTGGACTGTAAGTGAAAAGGTAAACTAAGAATAGTTTACCTTTTTAATTATAGTATTAATGCGAGACACCCATGACAATTGAGTATCAAAGACAGCTCCCAAGTTTTTAGCAGAGTCTGAAAAAGGAATCTGTACATTGTCATAAACCACGGCAGGAATCTTGGAAAAGTCAATTAATTTCAGGTAATATGAACTGCCGATAGTTAAGACTTGCGATTTCGTGGGATTAACAAGAAGACCGGATTTTTCTAGGTAGATTTTAAGATACGGAACCTAAAAAAATATTTCAAGAACATGTGAAATATGCCAATCTGCAGTAGGGTCGCATGGTTGACTATGCCTTGTTACAGAGGAGGCCTTTGCCCAGCAGTGAGCATATAGGCTGTTACTTTAATTCACTTTTACTCAATACCCACCTTGGTCGGTCTGCTCGTTGCCGAAGAGGGCCGTGCACGCAGCGTCCAAAGGCAGGCACCATTGTATCGCGTTCAAAAGAAAGAGTTCGGACCAAGCCTCTTCTAGAAGGATCACCTGAAGATACCCGAGTTCACATTTAATGGTTATACCTTATCTGTTTACTGTTCTAGAAGGATTACATGAGAAAAACCCGTTCCATTCAATTATTAAACCGTTTCTGTTTAAGGCGTCTGATGCTAACAAATTAATTTTGACGGATTTTTAAGCAGTTTACTTTTTTTTATCGTCGTAATAATGCTAATCTTTTAAGCTTCTAAAGGAGGCAAAAAGTTAAGTTAGTTAGCTATTACAATATAGTTTAATTGAAATGAAACCCATTACATTTCAAACATCGGATGCGACATTATTAAAAAAAAAAAAAAACTGACGGACCACGTTATTGGTTGATATGTGCTGGATGTGTTCTAACCAATCGAAATAAAGAAAATAATAAAGCTAGCCAATCGGAACAGTGCACCGTTTTCAGCAACCTTTTAATAATAATATAACTAGGTCACTAGGTAGGTGTAAGACTAGGGCTATCACTTACTTGGTCCCTGAAGGCCAGACTGGCGAACGAGGGCAGGTTCTTAGCCCACTTCACGGCCATGAACAACAACCTGGCCGCTGTCTCTGCGGAGCTCTCCACGCCCAGAGGCCTGTTTCGACGGGAAAAATAAATACATAGATAAAAAAGTAGGTGTATACATAAACGTCCAGAGGCCTGTTTCGGCGGGAAAATTAAATGCACAGATAAAAAAGTAACTTATATACGTCTTTGGGATGACAAAAGAAAAATAAATAGAAATTTTATACCCTGCGCCAGTACTCTTTATTTGTTTTTGGTTGTCATGATAATAAATTGATTGCTTCGCAACCAAATCCATCATGTCGCTTTTTAGCTGTCGGTGTGCCTGCCACATTGTAAAAATTTTACTCACATAATTTTTTCCAAAGGCGTCAAAAGAAGTAAGTACTTCAAAAACATGTTAGTGTTTGAAATAGAGGGAAACCACGAAAAGCCGCTAACCGATAACGACCTAGAGATATATTATGTATTCACTTGTTTTATCACGTTATAATTTCCAAATGTGACCATTACGGCATTCATCTATATTGGGGTGCGAGAGTATTTTTTTTGGAAAGAAAAACAATTACATATTCATAAAACACATTCGGTTTCCTATCTTACATAGTTCCCGCCTCAGGTACAAGAATATCACTATTTCAGATGAATAGAAAAATTTACAATTACCAAGAATATTAATGATAAATATAATTGGATGCTTTCTATGAAAATACACATAGAAATGCTTAATGTGTTACATCGCCATCTATTGCGAGTTGTTAAAATTAGTATGGCGTTTTAATCAGACAATAGGAAAATTGGGCGTAATAAGCTATTGTTTTCATCTTTATATTATATGAAGTTTCATATATTTATATATCCAGTGACAGTTTGTCTCTTGCTTCTCTTATCTAACGCTATTATATTTATATGTAGTAGGTATTCTGTTTTTTCTGCCTGCTCTCTTATAATCGTTTGTAGAACCATGCAGCGACAGCGACACCTAACGCAATGATGACGCGACGCTCCGTGTGGACCGGCCTTTAGTGTCTATGTATTACCTCTATCGCCTATAGAGTGCGCTATTTGTATACACGTAGTAACAAACGTTTGAAGTTACACTTCTGCTGGCGCGTTTGGCAAAATTTACACTCAAACTCAAAAGTGACATGACGCCTGGCCTGGTATCCTTTAATATTGGCAACCAATAACACATTTTTGACATTGCTTGCCACATTCTTAAATAAAAAAAATACTAATAATTCCTAACAAACCGTTAACAATTGTCAAAAATATATAGCTTCTTACGTGCGTGCATACTTTTTTTTGAGGTTAGGCATACTTTTTTAAGTTTTTTCTTTTAGAATTCGGATAAGCTGTTTACCTGTATGGCGGACAGTTCTGCGGGTAGCTTGCCACCGTTGGGGGTGAATATGACGTGGAGTCTTCTTCGTTCGTGACGTCAATGCTGTCGTCTGAAATTTGTTTTTTTCAATTTAATAGTACACATAGTGCCATAGATGTGATAAAATAGAAGAAAATAAGAGTATACTTTAACATTGAATACGGTAAAATATAAAAAATTACATATGCACATATTATTTTTCGATAGAAATAGTTTTTAACCGACTTCAAAAAAAGGAGGTTATCAATTCGGATGTTTATATATTTTTTTTAATGTATGTTCGGGCATAACTCGTCATAAAAAAGACGGATTTGCAAACTTCTTTTTTTTTGATGGTCCCATATAAATTTCATATAGATCTGATGATGATTTTCGGAGATAGCAACGAAACTCTTCGAAATATGAGAGGAAATCAACCGCGATTCCTGCTATCGCATAAATATGCATTGTTTTGCACGTAACGTTGTAATAGTTACCGTACATCATTTCATTTGAAGTCGGAGAAACTACACGCTGGCGGGGCGCAAGCCCCAAAGGTTCAAGCGCCGTTATGGGTTCCCTCTTAGAGGAATTCATTCGCGAACGATGCCCCGAAATGTGGCGCAGCTTTCTCGCCTTCGCCGCGGAGAAACGCCGCGTCGTCGAATACGCTAGCGACAACCCGACTTCACCGGCAGTCGCCTCGCCGCCATCTGCGGTGCCCTCTGCGCCAGCTAATGAGTCGCCTTCTGCGATACTAGCTACTAACGCCCGTCGCGTCGACTTCCGCCGCCGCGAACGAGCCCAACGCGCCTTCCGCGCAACCAATTTCGGCTCCCTTCCGCGATGTCGTTCATGTCGTTCCCGACTCACAATCGGACGGCGGCTCGGACATGGAGGTCGAAACGACCCCCGCTGATAACGCGAACGCCGACGGCTTCACCGTCGTAAAGTCGCGCAAAAAGGGCAAAAAACGCCCCGCAACTGACAGCGACCCCGAATGCTAGGCCGCCCCATCTAACCGTCCCACCGCAACGCCCGCCAAAAAGGCAGCTGCGGCTGCCCAAATGGTACCCGAATTCGCCTCCGAGCGAAAAATTAAGCCACCGCCGCCAATAATTATTCAAGAAGAGGCAAAGCGGCATCAAGTATGCTCGTGGTTTGAACGCCACAACATCCGCGACCTCCGGTCAAAAAATACACACATGCGTATCCGCGTATACCTGGACACAACAGACGATTTCCGCCGCGTAACCAAGTAGGGCGTCCCCAAAGAGTCGGATGTCGATAAGGCTAAAGTCGACATCCGCACTCAGGGATACCCCGTACATGCAGTGCGTCGTCTTAGGCACCCTAGAACCCGTGTCCCTATGGACATGGTCATGGTTGAACTTGACTCTTCAACCTAAAGAGGGTCTGTAGGCTCAGTGACTTAGTCATCGAGCCCCCGCGCAAATCAGGTGTTGTGGCACAGTGCCACAACTGTCAACATTTTGGCCACACGGCCAACAATTGCTTCGCTCACCCTAGGTGTGTCAAATGCACCGGTGACCACGGCACAACCGAGTGCACGAGGCCAAAAGATTGCGCAGATCCACCGGACTGCGTAAACTGTCACGCTACCGGCCACCCGGCTAGTTATAGAGGCTGCGCTAAGGCCCTGAAAAAACTCCCGCGAGAAAATCTCCCGCGAAATCTACGTTGCCCAAACCCGCGCCCGTTAAATACGTTCCCGCGCCCGTACCCGTCACTAACGCCTGGGGGAAACCCCAGGTGGCCGCGCAGATAACCACGCCGGTAATCCCGGTCGCCTCACGACCGATCGCACAACAGCTGCCCGCCTCTCAAACGGCGCCGCGGCTGCAGGTGCAGCCAACTCCGTCAGTTTTCGCGGAAAACAAGGACGACCCATTCGCGCAAATCGCAAACATCTGCAGCCTATTAGATAGGATCAATAGGCAGGAACTCGCCGTATTGTCCGCTAAAATAGCGGCCGCCACATCTGGCAACGAGCGTCTTAGGGCAATTAGCCAACATAAAACGCTTGTGGAAGCCCTTTGGGCTTTTACGAGCTAACCGTAAAAGACAATAGTCCGCGCAATAAAACCGCGCTCCGCCGCGTCGTTAATTAGACCAATAAAAACACCTTACTTCCCGTACAACCGCAGGTACAACAAAACCTCGGGCTCTGGTTGTTTCGTATTTCAACGCAAACGGCATAAAGGGTCAAAGGGACGAAATCGCGGAATTCCTTCGCGACTACAACGTAGATATTTTTCTAGTGCAAGAGACATTCTTGAAACCTAGTGTACGCGATCCCAGAATCGCAAATTACAATATTGTCCGCCCCGACCGGTTAGCAAACCGTCTGGGAGGCACATTAATTTATTATAAACGGTTCTTGCACTGTTGCCCGCTCGACATTCCAGAGCTAAGTCAAATAGAGGCATCCGCGTGTAGGTTAGCGCTCACCGGCCACAGGCCGCTTGTACTAGTCTCAGCCTACCTCTTGGGGAATAGAACCTTACTTCAAAGCGACCTAGATACGCTTCTTAACTTAGGCCCTTCCGTGATAATTGCAGAAGATCTAAACTGCAAACACGGCTCATGGGACACCAACAGCATCCCAAATAACAAGGAAAGCATCTCTTTAGCTTATCCGATAACCTAAATTTCAGCATAGTCGCTCCCGCGACTCCCAGTAGGTATCCTACGGTGGACAACTACCAACACGCGTCACCGAGTGTCCTAGACATCATGTTATTCAGGGAGGTCACGCTCGACATCGAGTCGATAGAGACAATCCATGAACTAGACTCGGACCACAGGCCCGTCCTGTGTAAACTGGGCCAGAACGCCGGCGCGGTCCCTCCGACCAAATCCGTAGTGGACTGGCATCGTCTTGAAGTCAAACTCAAGGCCTTGGACCCCCAGGACTTAGTAGACTTACCCGAGACGATAGCTACGTTCGATGACGTATATCGAGCGATAGCGAGTCTCCGTGAAACTATTACTTCCGCAGTCACAGACTCGGAACGGACGGTGAAACTGTCGGGCGACCGACGGTTTAACTTTCCGCCCGACCTAAAACTGCTAATTAGACAGAAAAATGCTGCCAAACGCGCCTTCGACCGATACCGATCGGAATCGAACCGAACCCTACTTCGACGCCTTCAGCTAGAAGTCAAAGATCGTGTATCGGAACACCGACACACAACGTGGGACACTCTCCTAGAGAACATCGAGCCATCGCACACCGCCTACTGGCGGTTGGCCCGCAGTCTGAAAGCAGACCCCCGCGAATCTCTACCGCCGTTAGTTAGACCTAATAGCGCTTCAATAGCCCTAGATGACTCCGAAAAAGCTGAATGCCTTGCGGACAACCTAGAGCAGCAATGTACGCCATCGCGCGAACACACCGATTCAGTCCACCTAACGGAGGTGGACCACGTAATCGAGACTAGGGCTGCGCTTCCACCGGAAGGCGAACCTTTAAATTCAGTGACCCCCGAAGAGGTCCAAGATATTATTAAAAATTTAAAACCAAAATCCGCCCCGGGCCCAGATAAAGATAACCCGACCACAGCTAGCCGCCGCCTCACGGCCGGCGTACACACAAGGCTCTCTTCTCGATGTCGCAAAAGCATTCGACAAAGTCTGGCACAACGGCTTGCTTTACAAGCTGTACACACTCAAAGTGCCAGATAGGCTCGTACACACCATCCGGGCTCTTTTTGTTACGCTCTTTTCGACACGAGCGACATACCCACAAGCCGCCGCCCCCCACGTCAATCTCGCGCTTTTCGCGAGCGATGACCCCCCACGTCAATCTCGCGCTTTTTATTCAGACGGCGCTTTAACTCAGATCGCAACCTCATCAATTAACCACTCGACTCCAAAGCGCCGCCGATCACCTCGGCGATTGGTTCCGCAAATGGAGAATAGAAATAAATCCCGAAAAGAGTGTGGCGATTCACTTCATACGAGGTACCTATCCTTCACATCTTTATAATGGCCCTCGCCAATGCAGAAAGTTGGGGCAAATATCCCTTTATGGCCAACCGCTCCCCTGGGAGAAAAAGGTCAAATACTTAGGAGTCACTTTCGACTCGCGTATGTCATTTACTACGTACATTAATAACGTTCGTAATAGAGCCGCGTTCGTCTCCGGCCGGCTACACAATTTAACTAATGTTAAAAGTAAAATGCCCTTAAGGCACAAATTATTATTATATAAGACTTGCGTACGACCTATTATGTCCTACGCATGCGTGATCTTCGCCCACATAAACCCTACTCGCTTGTACAAGTTGCAAATAGTACAAAATAAGTTTATCCGCCGCGCAACCGGTGCGCAGTGGTATCAGCGCAACGTCGACCTGCACAGCATTGCAGACTCCCGACGATTCGCGCACATTTTAAAGATTTGACAAAACGGTTCCTTGATAGAGTCCAGCATCATCCTAACCCTCTGGTGGTAAGCGCAGCAAACTACCAACCGGACACTAACGCGAACGTAAACAAGCGTCGCCCGCGAAACGTCCTCATCGACCCGGTCGACGAAGAGGACTTAGATACGATGGACCCACCGCCGGGGGTCCCGCCGGATAACACTACACCCACAGTTAGTGTAACAACAATCACACCAGTTCGCCCTCGCCTCCGAGCACGGCGAGACCCACACAACGCGTACACAAGGTACACCCGCGTTCCGGGGCGGTTTTCACCGCTCCCAGCCACCGATTACCTAAATGCACAATCAACGGCCGTCGGGGTCTCGGTCCGAACCGCGACCTCAACGGCCCTTAGATTACACACCATAATTAAACGCACGCATGAGCACATGCGCGACCCTACCCATAGTGGAGGGTCCAAACCCGTGGGTTCTGGCTAGCCCACCGGTTCTGCGTCCGATGAAGCTTTAATAGTCTCGGGAGTGAAAGCAAAAACATCAGTCACAAAAGAAAATTTGAAGTCGGTTCTTTTTTGTTAAAAATGTTTGAATAGAAAACAAATGTTAAAAGTTTGCAAGTTAGCTGGCGGTTCACCTGACGTTAACCGATAGCCGCCGCCAAAGAACATGCATTGCCTTCAATACGCATCCGGCGAGGTGTGAGCCGCACCTTACAACACTCACCGTCGCTGTCGGTGTGCGCAACGTCCTCGCTGTGGTCGAGCGACGAGTCGGGCGCGGCGAGGGCGGGCTGGGGGGGCGGCAGCGGCGCGTAGTGCGGCGACAGGATCGGGTACCGCGCCGGCGACAGGGCCATCGCGAGGGATACGGGCGGCCTGCAAAAGGAGCGGTGTGAATAGGGCTTTACCGTCACCGTCGTTAACCCGTATCGGCCACTGCTGAACGATATTTATTTCATCATTTGCACCAAAATTCCAACAAATATCTAACACTAGCAGCTGCCGGTGACTACGTCTGCGTAGAATAGGCTTTAGGTGTAACATTAAGACAGAAAGACAGATATACATAAAATATGTATATAAATTATAGCCTATGTCTTATTCTGATGTATAAGCTAATATTAATTCTGATGTATAATGTTATTGTAAAGTTTCATTAAAATCCATTCAAAAATGTTTACGTGAAAGAGTAACAAACATCCATCCATATATACAAACTTTCGCCTTTATAATATGAGCAAGGATTAGTAAGGAAGTAAGGATAGTAAGGATATATCTAACATTGTCCAAAGTATTTTACTTGTATCACAAGGTTGAAGGGATCGCTCTTTAGCGATAAGACCGCCTTGTTTTATCTACGTCATAAGTTTTTTTTTGTAACATTTCTTTTATGTATTATGATGTTCAATAAAGCATATATTATAAATACTAGCGGACCCTACAGACGTTGTCATTATTTATTTAAAATTGTTATTATTTATTTAAAAATTTAAAATTGCTAAAGTTTTACAATTACCTTTAATGTTACTTTAACGTCATCTAGGAAGTTTATCCCAACCTTTTAACTGTTGACAGAATCGCGAGACCTAATTCTATTCTGATCAATTGTATCAACAGATGGCGCTGTTCAATACATTACCTTTAATTGGATATATTTTTAGCATTAATTTGTACTTAATTGGATTTACCGATACAAAATATACGGAAAGTTTAAAAAATGCTGATCATAAACACTTTAATTTAATGCTTGCATAAATAAAGTCATTGTATTGAACTATAATGTACTAGCGACCCGCCCTGGCTTCGCTTATAATAATTTTCCGAAAAATTAATTTTATTTTTCCAAAAAAAATTTTTTTCTATCGCTACCAAACTAAAACAATAAATATCTCACTCAGTACATTTTCTATTTAGTTTTAAGGATGATGTTCTGATTACTACGTCCACTTCACATCACTGTAATCAATATGACCCCACATAGGAGCTGAACCAAACCGAATACAAAAATAATTTTAAAAATCGGTTCATAAACGACGCAGTTCGGAGGTACCAACCGTAAATATACAACCGAATTGAATACCTACGCCTTTTTTTAATCGGTTGAAGACACCCAGGGAGTGATTTCTGTTAAATAATTTTATTTTACAGTATGTATGTATGTATGTAGTCTTGACGTAAATAAAAATAATAAAAAATATATTTCACTCAGACAATAACAGAACCCCCGCAACTCGCGAGCGTATCCGTAATAAATATGACAAGTTTATTTTTTATCTGTATCTATGCACCAATTCATTATCTATGCCCATTTGCGAAATGGCGTCATTCCGCAACAAACACAGCCCTACGTCCGTCGCGTCGCCTCCAAACACTCAATAAAACATCCATAAGTCGGGTCCCTTACAAATATTACATCTGCATAATGAATTCATGCACAGCGTTATAAAGTAACGCTACAGGGATAACCACTCAGCCGGATTAAGCAGCGTTTATGACGAATGCCGAATGTGAGACCGCCCCTGGGTTCTTTCTGTTGTTTTTCCCGAAGCGGGTTGTTTGCGCGTAGGTAAACTTCAATTCTTCCTTTATTTTATCGTTGAATTGAATGTACATTACAATGGAGTGTCTATTGACCTGTTTGTGTCCTTAATCCTTAAGGGGGGAAGGAGATAAGCGGTAAGATGTGTCTCGACTCTCGATTAAACTGACCACCTCGAGTTGTTGTAAATTGGAAAATGAGTCTTCTTTAATGCGAGAAGAAGCATTAAAGAAGTAATGGTAGCAAGCGAGCTGGCGTTTCAACATATGTTAGTGGTTGTCCACACACGACGAAGCGCAGTGCTAGCCTGCTTGATGAACAACGTATATACTTTAACTAGCGGCTTAGTGGCACAGTTGCTAGGCTGTTGGCTTCGGCGTCGGGGCTCGCGGGTTCGATTCTATTACGGACTGGCATTGGTGTGACCCACAGGTCGTTTAAAAACATAGCCAATACCAACTACAGTACTATTCGTATGTTATGAAACTATCAGGTGAGATAGGGCCGGAAGGTAGAAGAAACAAAAGTACAGGTTTTGGTTGACCCGTAGTAGAGAACACGTCTGCTATTCATTTGGAATGCGGATATCGCCGTGTGGTGATGATCTAAGCATAGAATACAAGGTAAATTAACAGCCTATATTTATGCTTATGATATATGATATCTCCTCATTGCAGTAGACAAAAACTAATAATGCATATAAGTAAACTCATATTTTATTTTTTACCTGTATCTTGCGCCAGCCATTCGTTCGAAAGTACTGGAAAATATCGTGTGAAAGGCATAGTTTTTCTGGTATATATGTATCATATCTAAATTATTTGTCATTATCTTTCATTTTTTACCATGTCTGAGATGGTAGCCAAGCACGGGCTAGTTGTCGGTTAAAGAAATTCGAGAGAAAAGCATGTTTAACCGTTCCCATAGTACAAGCTTTGTTTATGGCTGTTGTGTTAAAATAAGTCCAGATACACTTTGCAAAAGTTTCATTAATTATTTTGGTAATTTTGTGTGTGAAATTTGGAATACGTGTATTATAACGTAATATATTAAGCACAAGGTACAGTAACAAGTAGTAAGTAAAAGCACAAAGTACGTTTATTGAGTAAAGAAGTATGCATGTGTGTACACGCAAGAAGTAATACTTTAGCACAACGAAAAGTTTTATCCCCTGTGCCAGTAGGTACTCTTAACTTGTGAAAATAGACCCAATGCAATTGATAACGGTTTAATTAAATAACTTGGAATTGTAATAAAAAAAAAATATAAAAATTTGTTGTTAGTTGCATGGTAACACCGTAAAGTAGTTGGAAGTTGGTCGCTTTGCAACGAACTTTGACTGTGACGTCACAAAGCGACATGATGAAGTTGTTTTGTAAATATTTTACTCTCATATTTTTTTCCAAACGCGCCAATAGAAGTGTTACTTCAAAGATCAACTATTCAATGGAAGAAATCGCGTTCGAATGCTATACTACCGGTACCGGTACCGTTGGTACCTTACGTATATCTTTGTTGCATAAATGTCCTATATGCATAATCTTTGATGTAAAATTCGACGATTCATAAGAGCGCACAAGCGTCTATTATAATAAATATATTTTTGATTTATATCGCTTGTTCGGTTACCGCGTTTATTTATATCCGGCCGAGGGCTGCTTGGCGCCAATCAAGCCTCAGGCCTCGTCAAAGGTGGGGTCGCTATGGGTGACTAGGCTCGCCACATAACAGGGCACCGGCGTACGTATATCAAACGGTAATGTAACGTAGTTCATACGACGCCATATTTCACGGACGGGTTGGGAACTCGCCGGCCGGGAGCGCCGGGGAAATTATGGATTAAAAAGCTCTTATTTCTAAACAAGCCTAATACCGTGGCAGTACGCTGTATACGAGAGTTCAAAGGCTGGTTAGCTTATTGTAAAGAAAAAGTAGTCTATAAATGTCCCACTACTTTGCTAGCATTTTTATTATTTCGAAAATATGCAGGTTTCCTCGCGGTGTTTTTTTCACAACTATACACGTGATAAGTGGTTAACAAACACTTAAAGTTAAAGTTAATAATTTTATTGGTGGCGTCATCGGAAATTGAACTCTAGTTGCTCTAGTATATTGCACTAAAAGCTAGCGCCCAGACAAAGAGCTATCACGGCTTAATGAGAATCTCAAACTAATTATTAAAGACAGCCACAGCCGAAAATAATTCTATTTAGCAGTTCACGCGCGACTTAAAATTTGTAGATGTTTCATTATTTTTAAAAGTAGATTCTATTTTATTATTTTAAAAATACTGAGAAGAGTCACCAATGCGGTAGACAAAGAGAAAATAAACCAACCAACCTAGCAAAGTTTCCAACAGACGAGTCAAAGACTGACATTGTTAATTCAGCGACACAGAACGTCACATAAAAGCCGCTCTTAATAGTATTTAATTGTGCTCTTGTTTGAAGTAAATTCTTTATGTGTCCGAGGTAAGGCAAATCAAAGTCACTATCACTAGGTGTTAAAAAATCAAACTCTATTGAAGGGCGAGCTTACATGAAACTATATGTTAATACATATATTAGAGCACTAAGGTGTATTTATGTATTTCCAAATTGAAAAGTGAAATATACAGTTGCGAAGTCCGTTCTAAATTATAAAAACATAGAATTTTGCACGTATTCTGCTGTATTTGCAGTCTGAAAAACAAAATAACATCCAATAGTTCGCCCACTCTGCAATTTCTTCAACAGCTGGTGGTACAGCTGACGATAAGTGATAAACTTCACCCACGGGCATTTGCAAAAACCTTAGCATTGTTTTTAATAAAGTGCGCTCCGGTTACCTCACTCACCAGACGAAACGCAGAGGAGATCTTCCAATTAACGCCTGTTTTCTACGAGGCGCCTGCCCGCTCGTGCAACAGCTAACGCCCGGTTTCTGAAACACTGGTCAAAGTAGATGTCAACTAATCAGCCGTCAGACGGCTTTTCAAATGGCGTTTAAGTTGCCAAAAGGATGGTTAAACTCTCTAAATTGACCGAATGATCTTAATGATCAGAAAGTTAAATTCACAGAGTTTAACCATCCTTTTGGTAACACAAATGACATATACAAAAGCTGTTTGACAGCCGACTAGTTGACATCTACGATGACCAGTGTTTCAGAACCGGGCGCTGGGCTGTTGCGTAATAGGGTTACCACAGTTTAGTTAGAATTATCCTGTGTTGTAAGGACGTTTTTACAAACATAAATTTCACGTGGACAAACACTCAGACGCGAAACAACTATCTGTGGGTCACCCAAAAAGCTGTCCCGTGTGGGAATCAAACCCGACGCCGTGTGGGAATCAAACCCCTGACGCCGAAGCCAATACCTTGGCAACTGCGCCACGGAGTCAGCAATGGACAGTGGACTTCCCTTACCCGAATACTCCAACGGCTACTGCCGCTTCCCTCAGGGCCCTCTCCTGGTCCATATCCCGAAGCGCCTCTGGACGTATGGTGGCTGTGTTCCTCGGCTGCCTCTCGTTCTGCACAGCTGCAAAGGAAATCTCACTAGAAACCTTTTAACTGCGATAGATTCACCTGTATTCGACAAATAGGTCAATTCCGAGAGTATGCGTAAATTCCAACCGATTGGAATAGTGGATGGTGAACCTACCCAGAGGGTGTGGGTTCGATCCTCACTATTGGACAATGTTATGTGATGACCATAGTGTTTTTCCAGTGTCTGGGTGTTTATATATTTTATAGTACGTATTTATTTACAAGAGAAAAGTATGTTTAAATATGCTTATCGGATACTCTACCAGACATAGTACAAGCGTTGCTTAGTTTGGGACTAGAAAACATTGCTTAAAATGTGTCCTAAATATTTATTATTATATTATTATTTTACGTTATGTCTACTATACGTATAAACTGGATTTTTTTTATCATTTAAGAGATTTTTAAATTTTTATAGTGGTAAACTCTGCACTTAAGATAAAACATTGAAGTTTGTAGAAAAAATGGTCAATAAAGTTCTGGTCGCTAATCCGGTTGATTCCCGCGGTGGCGAAAAACTTTTCATACATTTATTCTACAAATTTTAATTTACATAGTTCCAACAAAAAAGTCCTTTTAAATATATAATTTTATATATGGTGGAATTGTTTCATTTCGAGAAGTGTGAAGTGTAAAGTAATGCAATACTAAGACCGGCGTGAAGTGGAAGTGTTTATAATTCTGCGTTTCGTCTCGTGAGTGAGGTAGCTGGGACCCACTTTATTAAAAGTTTGCGATGCATTTGCAACCCTATGGGTGTTGCAAATGTCAAAGGCTAACAGCTTGATGTAACTTTTCCTACCTCGTTACGGTTAAAAATGTAGTACCTTGAGGACGGTTGTTTTTTTTTTGGGAAAATCATGTATTTTGGAAATAACATTTAGATACAAATTACTGAGTAATGAAATATGCATAATATTTTTCGATCTTACCGACGTAATAATAAGAAAATATGAAATGGTGTTTTTCACAAAAGAAAGAACTTTAAAAAAAATGGGGGAAAATAACAAAATCATCTGCATCGACAATAAATAAAAAATAAAGAAAGCAATGATCTGGAATCGAAAAAAAAGTAAAAAAAAAATAAGTATGTAAATGACCGTGACACGAACCACGGCCTTCTGCTTCGGAGCCGCCCGATTACCGACCGAGCTGTTATAACATTTTTTTTTTCGGTGAAATTTACTGTTATATTCGAATAATATTTTTCATTCCCTGAAAACTGGGAAAAAACGACTTTTTCTAAAAATGAAACCTAGCCAGATCGATTTTTCGCCCCCAAATCTACGCACATAGTAAATTTCATGAAAATCGCTGGAGCCGTTTCCGAGATTCCGATTATATATATATATACAGCGTGTCGTTACCATCGCGACAATAAATGAACACACATATAGGGGATAACTTTTTAAAGTTGTATTAAACATTTAAATTCTTTAAACATCAATATTTACAGAGTTATTAAATTTTCCAAAACAAAGAATTTTAGAACACCCTCACCTATAAAAGCGTAACGTAAAGTTCATTTGTAAAGGTCACAAAACATATGAATGGGTTGAATGAATTTAAAAGAGACAAAACTGTTAGAAGGAGAGGCTTTTAATACGACGCTGTGGCGCGAGTTGTACAGGATGTTACAAATTTTGTTTCTTTTTTACTTAATTAGTTTGAAAAAAAATTTTTTTTAATTGTGGATTTTGTTTAACGTTAATATTTTTTTATGATTATTGGTACGTAGCGTTAGACGAGTGTTCATTTATTGTCGCGATGGTAACACATATGTCGCGATGGTGACACGCTGTATATATATATATAAGAATTGCTCGTTTAAAGGATAAGATGATCTTTCATTCGTTTATAAGCTACTAGCGACCCGTCCCGGCTTCGCACGGGTGCAATGTATTATACGTATAAACATTCCTCTTGAATCACTTTATCTAGTAAAAAAAAACCGCATCAAGATCCGTTGCGTAGTTTTAAAGATCTAAGCATATATAGGGACAGACAGATAACGGGACGACTTTCTTTTATACTATGTAGTGATTTTAAAGTTTATAATAGTGCTAATCTCTGCACTTAAGATTGAACATTAAAACATGTAGAAAAAGTACGAAAAGATTGTCGCCGCTGTGGGAATCGAACCCACGTCTTCGCGGCACTCGCGGCCTGACGCTCTAGCCACTGAGCTATGTAGTGATAAATATATACAAATCGTTGCCAGTAAGAGTGATGTTCCTACTTGAAAAGGTACTTGTAAAGGTATTCGGATTTAAATGGAGGCAAACCCGAAGGTCTTATATAGTGGAATATATACAAAGCAGTTTGTCTGTAAAAGGTGCGCGTTCGACGTCACAGGGGCAATAAAATCAAATAGAAGTCCTCCAGCCTCAACCACCCTGGGGTGGGTGGGAGGCTCCGTCGACTGTTGTTAAGTGGAATACGGTACGTGGCATCCGAAGAAAATGTTTTCAACGAGCTCTCGTTCTGTGTATTTAAAAGGTAGCAAAGCATCTGCAAGCCTACGTGTTGCAAATGTCCATAGTCGGTGGTTGTCACTTAACATCAGGTGAATCACCATCTCGCTTGCTACCTTCTCACATAAAAAAAGTTTAATGATGGAAAATGAATGCCGCTTACCACGTTATGCGGCGCGGCGACACGTAAGCCGACTTTGTAGACTGTCGGGGGCGGAATGAAAGAGTATAGCTCCATCCCCGGAGCCGGGTGTTACGTGACCGTATACCCGGCTCCCGATTCACTGCCCGGATAAAGTCGCGATCAATCATATCCGGGCGGATTTGATAGTTGCGGGGTTGTTTCGGCCAAATTCGTTCGTATTTTGCGGTTAATACAAGAGCGATGGTTTTCAATGTAATGAAATCATACGGAAATATAATTAAAGAATTTTTTTTTATATGTTGATTATTTTCAACCGACTTCAAAAAAGGAGGTTCTCAATTATACAACTATAAAAATAACTTTATTTCCAAAAAAAATCTAAATTATATGCCTTAAGAACTGACCTAGGCTGTTGCCTGTCCTATGGTTGATAAATAATACGATCTACAGTTTGTTTTATTGCGTTTGTGTTTTTATGTTTGTTACCAAATAACTCCGTCATTTATGAACCGATTTTAGAATTTTTCTTGCATTGGGTATTAATTATTAATTTCTTTGGTAATAAGCCTTGAACTCCGGAGAGACATCAAGGAACTCTTCAAAATCAATATAATTATGTGATGTTAGTTGGTATTGTTTTTTTTTTTTAAAGTAATTGTGAGGAGTATGCAACTAGTGATTTAAGCTGAATAGCTCATTACCAGAATAAGCGTTCGAATCCTAGTGATTGCCCCAATAAGTTTTCAATTTATCAGACATTTATGCTTACTTTTTGCTTTACATTATTATAAGCGATGTTTTGGGTTTTAGTTCGTAGACTATGAATTGCGTTAAAAGCGACATTAGTAGAACGAAGGCAACTCGTGGAATAGCCCGCTAATATTTAACTCATTTTGGTTATTGCCTTATCATCAAGTTTCTTCAGGGTTTTGTTACCATTACAGGTTTAAGTAAACACAATGAAGACAATAAACGTCTTTGGGTAGGTAGCACATTACGATAAATGGCTGGTATCAACTAATACAGTAATGAGACTACGAAACTTAGGCCCGGTTTATGAAACACTGATTATCATAGATGTCAACTAATCAGCTGTCAAATGGCTTTTTACAGCTGATTAGTTAACTTATGCGATGATCATTGTTTCAGAAATCGAGCGTTATTGATCCACTGACAGCTTAGTGTCTGAGCCGTATGTACGTATGTAAGTAAATCATATAAGTGCTAAATTATTGCGGGGTAAAGAAAAACGTCTTAAGGAAGCGTGCATACTTTTGAAATAATATAACAAAAAGTATGTTTCAAGATGTGCTGTGTCTATGCCCTAATACCCTCTGTACAGAGGAGTCTGTTGCCCAGCCGTGTGATTTGTAATGGTTGTTGTTTTACTTACTACTAGTTGCACACTAGTACATAGTCCAGCCGATATGTTTCTCAATACTAATATAATATATCCTTTATACGTGAATATAGTGAAAAGTGGATATGTGCGCAATGTCTCAACCCTATCGCCAATTAAATTAATCTCAATGAATAATAACGACTGATTTTGAGGGCCGACTAAAAGTGAGCAAAACTAGACATCTCCGTCTCTGTCGCACAGAAACTAACGTGCATCTATCCCGCTCGCGCGCGACGCCGGAAGTGAGACCTCAAAGATGGCTGCGGCCGGATGTGGGAGGGGCGAGTTGATTTGTAGTTTGTGGGGGGAAATAGTTTCATGTGTGTGCACGTATAACGTCAAATACATTGACACAGTTTATTTCCACGCGATTGAACAATGTTTTGATTTCAAATGTACATACACATAATAGAATGTGAAGAGTTGTATATTACCTTTATTGAACTATTTTATTTTTACTTTGATGTTTTTTTTATTTAAACAACTTTCGTATTTTTTGTTAAGAGACTGATGTTACGAGGCGTCATTTAAACGAAGTGGATGTTTTTTTTTTGTTACTTTTATAAATATTACCGGAGTGAGAAATGTAGCAGTGGTGGAATCCGACTTTGGATCTTAAAATTGGGGGTTCGAATTTCAACGGTGTGCACCAAATAATCTTCCATCTTTTGTAAGGCGTAGGTGCAAAAATCCCTTTTTCACGTTCCATGCCTAGAGCTCTTTAGCTAGCAAATGGAATATCCAAAATAAAATATTCGTTACAAAAAGATTATCCTGATTTCGAGAAAGAAAGAAAGAGAGAGAGAGTAACTAGCATTGTACAGAAGAACTGACCGAACAAAGAAAGTAGAGTGTAACATATAGTTAGTAGAGTTCGGCCGCTAAACATTAGTTGCGTAAAATGCTAAAAAAAATGAATATTATTCAAATATTGAATATTTGAACGGTTCACTACCATAACAATGTAAAGA